TTGTAGCCACAGGCAAATTGCAGATTTAAGCTGACAAGCATTTATGAAATGCCCGTATCTGCAGGTATACTGCTTGAGGATTCAGAGATAAGATAAAATGAGTACATTTTCTGTCTTGGAGGACTTTTCAGTCTAGAACAGGAGGGAAGCAAACTTGGGCTCCCTGTACAGCTTTCTGAAGACTTTAAGCTGGGCCGTGTACTGGTTACATTGTGGAGTGGTAGTCGTCCTTCCCTTGGAAGTACATATGTAGGTCCTGAAATCTCGCCTCCCAGGACAGTGCAGGGGGCACTTCCACAGTGAGTGCTGTGGGGGTTGGATTGGATCCCAAGCCAAGAGATGATGATGAGAATATAAGCTCCAGGAGAATAAGATTTTGCTGGTTATAGTCACTGCTATATTCCTAGGACCTAGGACAGTTCCTGATACAGAATGAGTGCTCAATATTTAAATATATGAAAGAATGTGAATATTTTAAAACTGGGAGATTTCACATAAAAGCGTACGTTTGCTTGCATTGAATGTTGAAAAAGTGGAAGATATGGTAACAGTGGGCCCATCTATTTTTGTGTATGGCAGTGAAGAACACACCTTTGTTTAACATACCACTAGCTCAGCTCCACTGATGACATTGTCCGTCTGGTCCTGTTCTTTGCAGGCTCTGAGTTAATCACTGAGATCTCTGTCAACTCCAGGTGTCTACAAAACTGAATTTTATAGTTGCAATTTTGGAGCAGAGTTCCAAAATGGAGAGGTTTTCTGTTGATTAACAGGTTGCATTGTTTGAATATCAAGAAAATTGCCTATATGACATTTGCATTACATTTCATTACCTAATCAAATCATTCAAGATACATTTTTATTACTTTCATGTTAAATCAGATGAACCATCTATTCTGACAGCAAAGGAAGATAATACTTTTGTTTAAATGAGAATTTTAAAATATATAATAGGCATTATATACAGTATATTATATGCTGCATATATTGTTTATGTATGTAATAATATACAGTATAATATCTATATGAGTCTTTCTGGAAACCTGATCTATTTTGATATGAGAAACAAAAAAGGATTATTCCACTATTTTTTAAATTGTAAAACACATTTCATGAGAATACAGTTTAGAGTTATAAACTTTCAACTCCAGGACCACACAAACTGAGGCAAAATTTATAACAAATGATCACCTTAGTTAATGGTGGAATGTCTGGTTAATGCCTTTGAAACTAAAAATGTCTTGAAAGCATCCTTTCTAGTCAGTGACTTGTATGTAAGCCAAGAAAGAAACACACTTCTAGGCATCACTGGAGTACCATGGGGATGCATGGAATTAAAGAAATCATTTTGATGTTTTCTGGTTAAGGAAGGATCTTCCTTATTTTCATTAGTGTCATTATCCTCTGGTAAAAATGTTTCATTAGGTTATCTAGAGGAACTTCAAATGTGTTAGACAAGGTTTTTTAATCTCAGATATCAAGTTTGTCTCCTCGTACAGGTGCATCCATGGAGAAACTACTGTTATATTTTAAATTCCATTCATCAAATTCAAAATAATGGAATGATTTTCATTTTCTTCACTGTAGAATGTCAGTTCATATCATCCTAGGGAAAGTTTGCCAATAAAATTGATTAGACATCCAACTTGTACTACCATGTAGTCTCATCAGTTCTTTCACATGAGTTTATCTACAATTTTATCTTGCTGTTCTTTTCCAAGGTTTTTGTTATGGTTTTTTATTATGAAGGTACTGCTTTCATAAGCTTGTGACCAGCGTGGTGATGAGTGTTGGTAATGGTGAAATGCCAAAAGGCAGGTGCTGTTCTTTTAACACAAGAAACAGACATTCTGCCCTAAGTACGAGCTTTCTAATATGTACAATAGAAAGGCAGCTCGATGTGGTGGCTCACGCTTGTAATCCTATCACTTTGGGAGGCCGAGGTGAACAGATCACTTGAGGTCAGGAGTTCGAGACCAGCCTGGCCAACGTGGTGAAACCCTGTCTCCACTAAAAATGCCAAAAAATTAGCTGGCCCTGGTGATGCATGCCTGTAATCTCAGCTACTGAGGAGGCTAAGGCAGGAGAATCACTTAAACCTGGGAAGTGGAGGTTGCAATGAGTTGAGATTGTGCCACTGCCCTCCAGCCTGGGTGACAGAGGTAGATTCTATCTAAAAAAAAAAAAAAAAAAAAGATAGGCAGCAGCATAATCAAAGCTTCTTGGATGAACTTCCGGTTTTTTCCTTATTGATTTTCTTTCACACTAAGATAGATCGCCATAATAAACTGTTTTAGTGAATAACTTTTCTACGTAGGAAAAGTAGAAAGCCCAAGCAATAAACCCAATTTGATTGAGAAGAACTATGAAGATGTCAGCAGTTAAAACAATGCTCCTTTCAACAAGAATAAATGTATCTTTCCCCAGTACCTTGGGACAGATTTTTTACATTGACTTGCTGTGCTAAGCAATGTGAAATGTTCTGATCCCTGGGAAATAATTTTCTGGGAAGCAGGAAATAGATGAACCCAATTCTAAATTTTTGCCAATAGCTGAGATCACAAAGAGTCACTAACTACTAGTTATCAGAGCCAAGAGTTAAACTTGCATTTAAGATGGTAGGATATTGGCTTTGCATTCTGATTTATAGAAATAAAACTTTATTGAGGGAAAAAATAGGATCCATAATATAAAAAGAGGCTTACACTTAATGTGCACATAAAAATTAAAACTTCTGAATAATTTGATGTTTAAAATCAAATATTTCATGTAAATGATTAACTTTTAATGAAGTTTCCGTTTTAACTCCCATGATACAAGTTTCAAGAATGTATTAAGTAAAACCCAAACATGTACATACACACACCATATATGTATTTTTTTATTTTTTATTTTTTTGAGACAGAGTCTTACTCTGTTGCCCAGGCTGGAGTACAGTGGCATGATCTTGCTCACTGCAACCTCCACCTCCCCGGTTCAAGTGATTCTCCTGCCAGCCTCCTGAGTAGCTGGGACTACCAGCACACGCTACCACACCCTGCTAATTTTTGTATTTTTAGTAGAGGCAGGGTATCACCATGTTGGCCAGGCTGCTCTCAAACTCCTGACCTCAAGTGATCCGCCTACCTCAGTCTCCCAAAGTGCTGAGATTACAGGCGTGAGCCACTGTGCCTGACCTATATATTGATATAAATGGTGATACATATATAAAGCATTCTCCTGAGAAGCTGCAAAGATGTAAGAGCAGTTTTTGTGTCGGGCTCACACAATCTGTCATATATAAAACAAAGGTTCCCACATGGAAGGATTTCTGGGTTTTTTTCTTTCTTATTTATTTATTTATTTTTTTTGAGACAGAGTCTCACTCTGTCACCCACAGTGGAATGCAGTGGCATGATTTCAGCTCACTGCAACCTCCGACTCTCCAGTTCAAGAGATTCTTATGCCTCAGCCTTCCCAGTAGCTGGCATTACAGGCACATGCCACCATGCCTGACTAATTTTTGTATTTTTAGTAGAGACAGAGTTTCACTATGTTGGCCAGGCTGGTCTCAAACTCCTGGTCTCCCAGTGATCTGTCCTCCTTGGCCTCCCAAAGTGCTGGGATTACAGGCATAAGCCACCAGGCCCGGCCGGATTTTTGTTGTTTTCATGCAACAAGTCTGACAGGAGAATAAGAGTCCAACCCTTGGAGTTGCATTGGCTGCCTCTGAACTCCCTAAAATTCTGTTTATCATTCCATGTATTAATTATTCCAGTGATTCTCCCATAAATAAGCTGTTCCTTGGTAGAAATGAGAGACAGTTTGCGAAGTTGTGTTTCTTGTTTCAGGCCACTAGTAGTATATAAAAGAACCCCATTCTTGAGGGCTGACCACAAGCATGGGTTAAGCAGGTAACCTAAAGACAATGAGGCCAGGCACAGTGGCTCACACCTGTAATTCCAGCACTTCAGGAGGCAGAGGTGGGCGGATTGCTTGAGCTCAGGAGTTCAATACCAGTCTGGGAAACATGGCAAAATCCTGTCTCTACAAACACTACAAAAGTAGCCAGGCATGGTGGCACACACCTGCAGTCCCAGCTACTTGGGAGGCTGAGGTGGGAGGGTGGCTTGACCTGCAGTGAGTTAATGATCATGCCTCTGCACTCCAGTCTGGGCGACACAGCAAGACCCTGTCTCAAAAAAAAAAGACAATGATGTTTATTTCTAAAACTCCACCATACTGTTGAACCGTAAGGCCACCCAGGGCACCAAAAGAACAGTTGATTCATATTGTAACCCTTTCCAATAAAACACTTGTCACTAAGTTAAAAATGTTGCCCTACATTTTAGGAAGCACTTCTCATATGTGAAAGACACATTCTTGGCCTGTTTCTATCTCCATACACATTAATTTTCTTGCAATCATGACTTCCTAACTTCTTCAACATTCACTCCTGTGCCCTACCAGAGAACGTAAAACTGGAAAAAAAAAAAAAAAAAAAAAAAAAAGCGAAGTAAAAGAAAGGATAGAGGTTAAATCTGTGATGACTTAATTTTCTCTTTTAGCTGTAAACAGGGGAGGTGAAATGTCATTTGTGTGCGTGTGGGAGGATTCCTAAAATGTTCTTTTTTTTTTTTTTTTGAGACGGAGTCTAGCTCTGCCACCCAGGCAGGAGTGCAGTGGCACAATCTCTGCTCACTGCAACTTCCACCTCCCAGGTTCAAGCAATTCTCCTGCCTCAGCCTTCCTCTCAGTAGGTGGAATTACAGGCGTGCACCATCACGCCCGGCTAATTTTTATATTTTTAGTAGAGACAGGGTTTCACCATGTTGGCCAAGCTGGTCACAAACTCCTGACCTCAAATAATCTGCCTGCCTCAGCCTCCTAAAGTGCTGGGATTATAGGTGTGAGCCACCGTGCCCAGCCCCAACATGATCTTAAAGAGCAGAAAAACATGTAATGCTCAGTTTACCTGAGAGCTTCTACCGAATATGTTTCAGTGAGTGAGAGACACAAGGTTTTTGTTCCATTAGAAGTATTTTATTTTAAAGTACACTTGAAATTTTAAATGTGTTCAAATTCAGAGGTTTAAAAAACTTTGAAAGTCAGAGACACAGAGTTTAGGAAGCTGAAGGCTGAGAGTCTCCCTTCTCACTTAATCCATGCTTTATTTTGCATTCCTCGCAGGTAAGCAGGCAGTGCCTAGAAGAGAAGCAAAAATAGACAGTGGTTTGTACTTTGACACTGGAAGCTCTAGCTTTATTATTATTATTAATTTAAAAAGTCTTTTTAAAAAAAGACTGTTGTTTCCCAGGCTGGTCTCGAACCGCTGGGATCAAGGGATCCTCCCACCCAACCCTCTCGAGTATCTGAGACTATAGGCATGAACCACTGCACCTGGCCTCAACACAACATTAGAGATATAGTTTATGCTGAAGTTCACTAGGCTTGTTTTTCCAGAAATAATAGGAGTTGTTGCTTGATTTATGACCCCAGAATTTCACACCCCTAAAAGCAAATAATGAGCTTTATATTGAAACAGATGGTTGTATTTGTGGTCAGGGTCCAGCAGAGGTTGAACATATTAATTCTTTTTTAATTTGAGTAATTTCTAACAATAGCGTAAAATTATAAATATACAGTGCATTGATCCAGGATTGGACTATATGCCTATAGAGTTAAGTATGAACAGACACACATGTGCACATATATACACACATAATTTTTTAAATTAAAAAAATGATGATACTTCCAGAATTTCTGGCTTATACTTTGCCTAACTCTCCCTTGGTATTCCCTTAGGACACCAGGGAAAATGCACAGCTTCGTTCTAGACTAATAGTAACATTTGAATACGGAATAGATGTCCTCAAGTCCCTCCTTGCATTAAAGTTTTATAATCTTACAAATTCAACAAACATTTACTGAACATCTACTACTATGAGGACTTTCCAACAGGACAACTTTATTTATACAGGGCAGTGATAGGATGTGTTTTGAATGATAGAAAACTCATTCAATCTGGCTTGGGTGGGAAGGATTACTTGAAAGGTAGCAAGGCCACAAACTGCTATTGTAAAACCCTGAACGTGGATGAGGAACCCCTTTCTCTCACTTATTTCCCCTCATTGCTTTGAGAATGAAAAAAATCCTTAAGCATGGCATAAATTCCTCCAGGAGCTGACCTCTAGGTGCCCGGACTTCCAGCTTGTTATCTGCCTTTCCCAATAGGTCTTTATGCTCCGGCCATAGGATGTATTTATGATTCCCTTTAATAATGAAAATTTCCCCTCTCTACATACTACTCCAGGACTGGAATCCCCTTCTTCAACCCTGCTATAGCTCCTACTGTAGCCATAGCTCCTGCTATATCTCCTCTTGTCATACCTTCTGCTATAATTCCTACTACTTGAATCTACTAAGATTCAAGTCAAGCATCATCACCTCCTCCAAGCAGTCCTCCTTAATGCCTATTCCTTAACTCTCTCCTCTACCTCAACTTAGTCAAGTTCCCCACTCTACTTTCCCTTAACTAGAAAATCAAGTAGCTTTGTGCATTATTGCCTTTCAAATGTGCTGGTAATGGCCCTTCACACAGCGCACAGCAATTGGTTACCAGCTACAAATGCAAGTCCAGAGTAGGGCTTCTGTGGCTGGCAGCGGGAAGGCAAATGAAACTACAGAAAGCAGAGCTTAAAGGAGCCCTTGAAACTAGTTACTTCAATTACCTCCTGTCACAATGGACATTGTCTGAAAAATGTAGATTTCAGTCCTGTGTTTATAATTACTCTGAAATCCAAAGTTGGTTAATTGCAAAAGACACTCCTGAAATTGAAGAGGAAGCAGTCAACAAAATTCTCTCCTTTACTTATGCTACTTTTTCCTACTTTCCCACACAGACCAGAATCATGTGACCAATTCCTCCCCAGCAAGCTGACTCTAAAACATAACTTTGTGAGGATGAACTATAGTTGGTGTTCTCTGTAAATACGGAATTAATGATGAACTGGTGGCCTTGCTCCTGTAATGGGAAAAGTAAGGGTTTGGAAAACAGATGATCTGAGGTGAGAGACCCTTTTCCACCCACTAATGATGTCACCTTCAGAAGGTCTCTGAAGCTCTCTGGGTCTCATGCAGCTCATCAAAAAGAGACAGTATTGAAGGTTCCATCTATCACTCCAGGACTAGGGAACATGGCTTTCCAGTCACATAATTAGAAAAGGACCTTGGGTGTTTTGACTTCTAGTCCAGTTTGTTTTCACCATATTGTGCTGCTTTTTAGATAGAACCCACTGTGACCAGCAAGGGGTCTTTAGAGAAATGTGTCCCCAACACTACTCTTGTAACTACTATGGTAGAACTAGTAGAAATAGCTAATGTTTACTGAGCACTTACTGAGAGTCATGAATAATCATTTCTATTCTTTACATCTCATAAAAACTATCCTGATTACCATTTTGTACACATAAAAAAAACTGAAGATCAGAGAGCTTAAGAAACTTGCAGGGTCACACAGCTTAGTAAGTAGTAGAACTGGTTTTCAACCTAAGTACTGTAACAGCAGAGGTGATGCCATTAACTCCAAAGTCGTACTGCCTATTTCCCCTCTAGAAAATCATGATATATACAGTATTAACATAGTAGCAGCTCCGAGGAGCCCTGCAGTAAAGGAAACGATTAAGTTTTTTTGTTTTTGTTGTTTGTTTTTTGATATGGGTTTCATTCTTTTTGCCTAGGCTGGAGCGCAACGGCGCAATCTCAGCTCACCACAACCTCTGCCTCCTGGGTTCAAGCAATTCTCCTGCCTCAGCCTCCCAAGTAGCTGGGATTACAGGCATGCACCACCATGCCCAGCTAATTTTGTATTTTTTTAGTAGAGATGGGGTTTCTCCATGTTGGTCAGGCTGATCTGGAACTCGCGATCTCAGATGATCCACCTGCCTTGGCCTCCCAAAGTGCTGGGATTACAGGCGTGAGCCACTGCACCCGGCCTAGAAACTGTTAAAGTTTTGTGTGACTCTGTGATGGTGAAAGCCATATCTGCTCATTGAGGAATTCCTTTTTTGTTTGTTTTTTTTTGAGATGGAGTCTCACTCTGTTGCCCAGGCTGGAGTGCAGTGGCATGATCTCAGCTTACTGCAACGTCTGCCTCCCAGGTTCAGGCGATCCTCCTGCCTCAGCCCCGCTAGTAGCTGGGATGGCAGGCATGTGCCACCATGCCAGGCTTCTTTTTGTATTTTTAGTGGAGATGGCGTTTCACCATGTTTGCAAGGCTGACCTCGAACTCCTGACCTCAGGTGATCGACCTGCCTTGGCCTCCCAAAGTGCTGGGATTACAGGTGTAAGCCACAACACCTGGCCGGGAAATTCTTTAGAAACTTGCACAATGCTTTGAACACAGTAGGCACCCATTAAATATTTATTGAACAAATGAAATAGGTAAGTAAGTGTAATAACAAAGTTATTATTGAAGTTGGGCAGCAACAACTTTAAACCTGGGAGTTAAAACTTTTTTAACATATGAATTTTAAAAATTGTGTTTAATATTATAGTGAGTAATCTTTCATTTAATTTTTGTAATTACATTACAATCCCTCAATCAAACAGATTACAAACCTGTTATGCTGTGGACCAAAGCCAGCCCCACGAAGTTGATCTTCAAAAAAATGGAATTTACTCTGGCATGCTCCTATGTATGACACCTTTCCAAGGCCAAATCCCAAGAGACCAGCAACTGTAAAAGCAGGTTGGGAGAGATCATTTAAAGGTTGAGAATCCTCTCCATTAGTTATCTTCTAGAGCTTTAAAAGTTAATGCTAGCAATTTTAAAATTAAAAGGACCATGCTAAATCAATGAATGAAGACTCTGAGAATGAAGTCTCTATTTAAAATGAGCAGGATTGGGAACTGGAGACTTCCTGATCTGAGCTTTGAACTGGTGGTAGAAGGGCCAGGACAGAGCAAGCCACAGTGCTGTCCTGGAGACAGCCAGCCAGAAGAGGGCCCACCTGTCAAGCAAATGGTTGAGATCACCGGGGCAGGGGAAGGTGGGGTCTGGGTTGTGGCTATATACAGCCTCCCAATCACTGGGTAGAAACACCCCTAATCTTCCTTATGGCCTTGGAGTAGTGGAGAGCTTCAGTCCATCTTGCCTATAGGAGAGAGGTCAGAGGGAGAGGGACCCTCCTATGGAAGAGATCTCGAACCTCTTTCTCCTGCTGGGAATAAATGCAGTTTCAGACTCTCAACTGGAATGTGTCCCTTTTATACATAAAAGATCTATTGATACAGGTGGAAGAAGATGAAACCCCAAGTTTGTAGTAAATCTATTATTAGAAATCCCTCAATTCTTAAAAATTACTCCTTTTTTATATGTATTGTAGAAAATATTTTGAGAAGAGTGGCCAGGCCAAAAGAAGAAAATAAAAATCCCTAAAGGATGTATCATTCAGAGACTCTGCTATTGATAATCTCATTGTATATCCTGCCAGTCCCTCTTAGTCCGTGCTTTAAGGATGGTCTAAGGAGAAGTCTCTACTGCTAAGCCGTATATCAGAAAGTGTTGAATGAATTAAGAAATGCAGAGTGGCAGAAAATAGAGGCTGATTTTTCAAAAAGACAATACAGGCAGTTTACTTAGGCTGGAAATTCACATCTCCAGTTGCTAGTAATGTCTTTCCCCCCGCTCCCAAAATGAATCTGCTTTTAAAATTTTTATTTATTATTATTTTTAAAAATAGATACAAGGTTTCACCATGTTGTCCAGGCTGGTCTTGAACTCCTGGACTCAAGCAACCCACCCGCCTCAGCCTCCCAAAGAGCTGAGATTACAGATGTGAGCCACCACGCCTGGCTTGCCTTTTCATTTCTGTGACTTACAGGCAACTTTGGGCAATGATCCAAATCTAGGATTAGCTGCCAAATAACCTAAGGAGTAATACAGAAATACAGTATTATTTCATTTTATAACTTATCTAAGTTATAAGTTATAAATTATGTTATTCTTAAAGTATAAAGAAACTTCCAAAATTTAAGATATAAAATTTCTTAAATGTATACATACTCTGACTTTAAAAAGATGATCTTAAAAGAGCTATGATTCAATTCTCAGTTGACTTTAACTCCCAGATAGTCATTTTAGGTAAATTACAAATATCAGCTTTAATGTGTAGAAAAATAATATGAAACAGAAAATTCAAGACTGATTCAAAGACATCAAGCAAAGGTAGGGCTAACAACAGTGTTCAAAGACATTAGTCATCCTCTTTCCCTTTTAAACAACTCAACATAGAAAGTTTCCATGTGCACATTCACATATCACTATTTTACAATGCAAACAGTACAACTCATGGTAGTTAGAACAATGGCCTTCTAGAGATACCCAAGTCCGAATTCCTGGAAAAGGTGATATATTATGTCACAAAATGGGGATTAGGTGGAAAATGGAACTAATGTTGCTAATCAGATAACTTTAGAGAGAGGATCCGGGTGGGTCCAATGTGATCCTTCAGTGTGGAAGAGGAAACTGGTGATGGAACAGAGAGATGGCAGCAAGAGAAGAACTTGGCTCAATGTTGTGGACTTTACGGTCATAGGAAGGGGCCATCGGTTAAGAAATATGGGTGGGTCTAGAAGCTGGAAAGGAAAAGTAAGCCCAAGAGCCTTCAGAAGGAACACAGCTGGACCGATGCCTTGATTTTGGCCCTGTGAGACCCATTTCAGAATTCTGACTTCCAAAAACTGTAGGATGATACATTCATGTTGTTCTAAGCTGCTGTGTTTGTGGTAATTTGTTAGAGAAGTTGTAGAAAACTGATACCAAGCCCCGAAAAAATATATTAGCATAGATGCAAAAGATGGTAGATGTCTTGGTCTGTTTTCTGCTGCTATAGCAGACTACCACAGGCTGGATAATTTATAAAAAACAGAAGTTCACTTGGCTCACAGTTCTGGAGGCTGGGAAGTCCAAGAGCAGAGAGCCGGCATCTAGTCAGGGTTATCCCATGGCAAGGAAGTGCAGGAAACAGACAGCAAGAGGCTGAATACATCCTTTTTATCAGGAAATACTCCCATGATGATAGTATTAATCAATTTATGAGGATGGAGCCCTCATAGCTTAACCTCTTAAAGGCCCCATCTCTTAATACTGTTACAATAGTAGTTAAATTTCAACCTGAGTTTTGAAGGGGACATTCACACCACAAGCAGTAGAATTGAAGTTGTTTAATACTTATAAAACATAATTCTGGCTGGGTGCAGTGGCTCATGCCTGTAATCCCAGCACTTTGGGAGGCTAAAGTGGCCAGATCGCTTGAGGTCAGGAGCATGAGACCAGCCTGGCCAATATGGTGAAACTCCGTCTCTACTAAAAACACAAAAATTAGCCAGATGTGGTAGTGCATGCCTGCAATTCCAGCTACTAGGGAGGTTATGGCAAGAGAATTGCTTGAACCAGCTGGTGGAAGTTGCAGTGAGCCAAAATCAGGCCACTGCACTCCAGCCTGAGCAACAGAGCAAGACTCCATCTCAAAAAACACCCCAAAAAACCCCCATAATCTCCATATATGTCCCAGCTCCCATATTTTTATTTGTGTAAAAAATGATCTAAAAATGCTTGTTACTTCTACAAAAAGCTATCTTCAAGTTATAAAAATAAAATCATATTTAATACATGACCTTTATGAACAAGAATGGTATTGGTCAAAGTGGGATTCTCCTAGATACTTCGTGTGGTTTTTAAGACCCAGAAAAGAATGAGGATTTCTTCCTTCATAGTTATTGAGCACAAATGTTCCTTTTAAGATCCCGGTAATCAAGTCTGGGTGTGGCGGCTTACCCATGTAATTCCAGCACTTTGGGAGGCTGAGGCGGGAGGATCACTTGAGCTCAGGAGTTCAAGACCAGCCTGGGCAATATAGTGAGACACTGTCTCTGCAGAAATTTTTTAAAAAATTATCTGGGTGTGGTGGCATGTGTCTATAGACCCAGCTACTTGGAAAACTCAGGTGGGAGCATCACTTGAGCCTCGGAGGTTGAGACTTCAGGTAGCCACTATTGTATCACTGCACTGGATGACAGAGTGAGACCCTGTCTCAAAAATGAATAAGTAAACAAAAACCCCACAAAACAAAACCCCAAGACCCCCATAAAATCCTGATAATCAGAAGCCAGGCATGGTGGTGTGTACCTATAATCCTAGCTACTCAAGGAGGTTAAAGGAGGAGGATCACTTGAGCCTCAGAGTTTGAAACCAGCTTGGGCAACATAGCAAGACCTCGTGTCATTTAAAACAAATAAAAAATAAAACAAAATCCTGGCAATCAGCAGTGTTAGATAAAATGGGCTTAAACAGGATAAGGTGCGTTCTTGTCACCTGGGGAACTAGGCAAAGTCTCTGGGTTCTCTAGTCAGGTGGAGACAGGGAGGAGATAAGAAAAGAATAGAGAGGAAAACAGGAAAACACTAAGAGGCAGGGAGAGGTTGTGCGGGGAGGTACAAGGAGCTGCTGGTCCTTACAGAATCTTCTATGGAGGAGACAGAGTGCCCACCTCAGGCAGATGCAGTCTCTTGCCAAAAGAAATGGCGTGGTAGACACAGGTTGGGGTGGATTTCAGCTCCCCACCCCCTCCCTGGAGCATCCTTATTTGTACAGGGAACCATCTGTCTCACCATATACAGACGCCCTGAAAGACACAGCACTCCGGCACAGAGAAAGGTGCAGGATTGATTCTATTTTGTGTAAACAAAGCAAATTTATTATCTTATAGTTCTTGAGGTCAGAAATCCAAAATGGGCCTCACCAGATGAAAACCAAGGTTTTAACTGCATTCCTTAAATGGACTGCCTTCCAATCTGGAGGCTGGAGGGTGTGACTTTCTAGCTTCTTGAAGCTGCCCACCATCCTTCGCTCATGGCCCCTTCCTCCATCTTCAAGTCCAACAATGTTGAGCTGAGTCCTCAGACTGCCACCTCTCTGATTCCACCTTCAGATCCCGTCTCTCACTTTTAAGGACCCTTTCAATTACACCAGGCCCACCTGGATCACCCAGGATACTCTCCCTATTTTAAGGTCAGGTGATTAACAACCTTCATTCCATCTACAACTTTGATTTCCTTTTGCCAGGTAACCCAATATATTCACTAATTCCGGAGATTAGTATGCTTTCTGGAGAGATGGGGACTTAGGCTAAATAGGAAGAAGTCTGCATAAATAAATCCTTCACGAAAAAATAAGTGCCAGGGGCCACAAAGCTGCCAGGAGGGTCACAGAAAAGTGGGCTCTCTGAAATTAGATTATTTAACAAATGTTGAATCTTACCTTGGTAGACTAGTCCCTGGGTGACAAGCATGCTTACAAGAGAAAAAGGCAGAGCTGTAAGGCAAAAACGTCCTTTAATATTGGTATTTTAAAAATTGGCACCTCACCTAGAAGTTACAGAGAATTACTCTGAGCTTTTTCTCTTACCTTCTTTGTCAGTGAAATGTTATTCGTTTGTTATTTTACTAACAAATATTTATTCAGTGCAGCGTGGAGAATTTTCTTGGAATCTTCCCCAGTCACTCACCCTGAGGCACAGCATTAATTTGAACCCTGTGCTACTTCATCTCTGACATCCGCTTGTAATGAATGCCAACATGCACCAGATTCTAAGCATTACATATAATAAAGGCATCTTAGGATATAAGTATATTTACCTGTTGAATTTGGGAGCTGCTTTTAGCTATGTGTATATTTTGAAATTTTCAATCCTACATAAATGTTAAAAAGCAATACAATAAATTCCTACATACTCTTCATCTGGATTCATTAATTGTGAACATTTTTCCAAATTTGCTTTATCATTTTTAAATTTTTCCGTTTTTTCTGAGCCATGTGAAATTTGCAAACATTATGACTCTTTATAACTAAATACTTCAGCAGGTGTCTTCTAATAACAAGAATGCTTCTGCACGTAGTTACACCGCCATTAGCATGGTCAAAATTGAACACTCATACTCAAGAAAAAATATATTAACTTATACACAATTGTTATCCAAATCTCTCCAATTGGCCCAATAGCTGTCAGCCAATAGCTGTGGGTTTTTTTCCAATTCAGAAATTCAGGGATTATATGTTACATATACTCTCCTATCTGCTTTAGTCTAGGACAGTTCCCTGCCTTTCTTTTTCTTTTTAATGACATTTTCTCTTACAATTTGGATTTGCCCAATGATCCAAATTAAAGATTACAAGATGACTATATTCATGTTAAACATGTGTAATGTTTAGCTACAATTTTAAAACAGGAAATTTAGTCTGGGAAAAGCAGTTTCTAGTTCTGTCCACCAAAATGTGTCAGATGACTTCTTTCAAAAGAAGAGAGTAGTGATAAACATGTAGCTCTTTCCAGTTCAACCAAGACAAATCAAATAGCAACGAATTTTTCCACGCATAGCTACCCCATAGTGGGCAAATAGGTCATACTGAAGTGTTAATCTACTAGGGCCCAATTAAATTTTTGGAATGAATTTCTGGAAGCACAATCAGTAATCCTATAATGTATAATAAACATCAACTTCTAGAGGGTGTTCTTTCTTTCTTTCTTTCTTTGTTTTTTTTTTTTTTTTTTTTTTTTTTTTTTTGAGGTGGAGTCTTGCTTTGTTGCCCAGGCTGGAGTGCAGTGGCGCGATCTTGGCTCACTACAACTTCTGCCTCCTGGTTTCAAGCAATTCTCGTGCTTCAGACTCCCAAGTAGCTGGGATTACAGGCACCTACCACCACGCCTGGTTAATTTTTGTATTTTTAGTAGAGATGGGGTTTCACCATGTTAGCCAGGCTGGTCTTGAACTCCTGATCTCATGATCCACCCACCTCAGCCTCTCAAAGTGCTGGGATTACAGGCATAAGCCACTGTACTTGACCTGAGAGTGTTATTTCTAAAACAAGTGATACTAAATTTGAATGACTTAAGAAATCAAAATGAGTATTTCAAAGTATAAATTATCCACACATCAGCCATGTTGCAAAATATTGAGACTATATCTACAGGCTCTACTATGCTATTTTCCAAAGCTGAATCACACATTTTTTTAATTGGAAGAGACCTTAATGCACAGCCTGAATTCATACCCTTGTCTTGTGTGAGGCAGGCTCAGAAAGAGGAAGTGACTCAGCTGAAAATGTTATTTCAGAGACAGTGTAAGAGAAGTATTAATGGAACGCAGCCATTTTTCATTCATTTGCCAAATATCGATTAGGTATTTTCTATGAATGGGGCACGGTGCTAGGCTCTAGGATGAAGTTCCAGATGAACCTGACATTATTTCTGAACTCTATGAAGCTTAGAGTCTAGTAGAATTTAGGAAGGTCCACTCTTTGGGAGTCAACAAATTATAAATAACAGCCTTGGTATGCATTCTTGGTCACATGTTCTTGGTGAAGGGAAGAGTTACTTGTGTATCACCTTTTGCTAAGTGAGGTAAAGTGCTCCTTAATCAGATATTATCTCTGTTCTAAACAAGGAATGAACCTGGATTTAAACTCTAAACATCCCCAAATATCAAAGTTCTTCAGATAGTTATGCAAAGTCCCTGCTCAAAAGTAAGTCATTACCACAATTCTAATATGATATCTAGGCAGTTTGCTGCCACAAATACAACGTTAGGTGCAATTACCTCTCTTCCAGAAACTTTCTTCCTGACACTCTCGCATAATCTTTGAGATCTCTGCTCTGTGGATGTGCAGTTTTGATTTTGGACAAAACAACAGGCTCTGTAAGGGAAATTATATGGTGAGCTAACTGAGACCATCCGAAAATCACACACTTTGTTTTCTGTTTTCTCCATCAGATAACAGGGAGGTCTTTTCACTTGCTATACAGTGTGTATTCTGTGCCAGAGGCAGCCTAAAGCAGTGATCAGTTTCCAAGAGTGCTTTCCTGCTGGGAACACTGATTGACTTAGGCAACAGAAGAATCCTAGCTGGAGAGTGAGAGTGATTCACTGACTGGTGCAGGCAGCAGATTTGTGGTGAGGCTGAATCCCTGCTGAGGCCACATTTCCTTCCCCACCTCCATGCCTCTATGTGGTTCACTTGCCTAGAATGCTGTTCACTCCCTTCTCCTGACTGGTCTTAACACCCAGCTGAACATTGTCTCCTGGGTAAGGAGAGAGATTTTCCCCAGCATAATCGTTAGACATCGGGCATCACACTCAGAGCACCTATGTATATGCACTTCTGTATGCATTTTTAGACTGTGAACTCATCAGTGGACTGCTTTTTATTACTCGACATAGTTTACTTTCAATCTGGACACTTTTTAAAAACACATTTATAAGTGGTGTGCATATAATTTCTCGTGTAACTATTGACATGGTTGACATAACTATTTTGATTAGTTCTGTAGTATTTTTTGGACTTTATTAAAAATTAAAAAAATTTAATTGTTGTGGGTACATAGTGTGTTCTGCAGTGTTTTTTTTTTTTTTGGTCAGGGTATCACTTTGTCACCTGGGCTGCAGTCCAGTGACATGATCGTGGCTCACTGTAGCCTCTACCTCCCTGGTTCAAGCGATCCTCCTGCCTCAGCTCCCCTAGTAATTAGGATTATAGAGACCGTGGGGTTTTGCCACATTGCCCAGGCTGGCCTCCAGCTCCCAAGCTCAAGCAATCTGCCCTCCCTGGCCTCCCAAAGTGCTAGGATTACAGGCGTAAGCAACCACACCTGGCCTTCAGTTTTTTTTTTTTTTTTTTTTTAAATCAAGTTCATATGCTATCATCTAGACCAACTCCCATCTTTTACCATTCCTTTTGCTTTGTTGGTACATATGTTTTAATCACTCACTCTCTTCCACATTCTCCACTCCTTCCCCTCTGCCCATCACAACCATTCTGGGTGGTTTTTTCCTTTTTTTTCTTTCTTTCTTTTTTTTTTTTTTGTGTGTGTGTGAGCCAAAGATTTATTTCTTCATTTCTTGCATTTGAAGTACTCTTCGATAACATCATTGGATCTTTTATTTCTTTTTTTCTTCTCTTTTTCTTTTTGAGATGGAGTCTTGCTGTGTAGCCCAGGCTGGAGTGCAGTGGTGCGATCTCAGCTCACTGCAACCTCCCCTCTGGGGTCCCGGTTCAAGCAATTCTCCTGCTCAGCCTCCGGAGTAGCTAGGATTACAGGCATGCGCCACCATGCCCAGCTAATTTTTATATTTTTAGTAGAGAGAGGGTTTCATCATGTTGGCTAGGCTGGTCTTGAACTCCTGACCCCGTGATCCGCCCGCCTTGGCCTCCCAAAGTGCTGGGATTACAGGCGTGAGCCACCGAACCCGGCCGGATCTTTTATTTCTATCCATTCTTGTGAAATATTCATTATCTTGGATGAATATATCTTTTTAATGTAAATAGCACTTTTATATATTTGATTCTTAAAATCCTCTCAACTCAGCTCTATGCTTTTAAGATCCATCCATGTCGCTGTCTCCATCTAGTCTGCTGCTTGTAACAGCTGTATAATTCTGCACAATGCCTCCGAGTCCCCACCGCCTCATGTTCCTCCTGTGGACCCACGAGAGAACATTTTTCAGACACGAACCTAGAAGTAAAGCTCAGGGCGTGTATATTCTTACTGTGACCGAGTGTTGCTAGGCCGCTGTCCTCAATGGCTGTGCAGTCTCCACCCCTACCCGCAGGGCTGGAACACTCCCTCCCGGCTACGTATCCTGTGTAACCGCTAGGCGTGAGTAAAGATGATTCCAAGCAAGTTAAAGAAAGGAGTTTGGCTCTTTCCCTGCCGCCATGTAGAAGCGGAGGCTTGGGTGCGTTCAAGATTTGGCTTCACCTTTAACCCACCGCCGTGGCCGAGGAAGGCATTGCTGCTGGAGGTGTAATGGACGTTAATAATGCTTTACAAGAGGTGCTAAAGACGGCCCTCATCCACGATGGCCTAGCACGTGGAATTCGCGAAGCTGCCAAAGCCTTAGACAAGCACCAAGCCCATCTTTGTGTGCTTGCATCCAACTGTGAGGAGCCTATGCATGTGAAGTTGGCGGAGGCCTTTTGTGCTGAACACCAAATCAACCTAATTAAGGTTGATGACAAGAAACTAGGGGAATGTGTAAGCCTCTGTAAAACTGACAGAGAGAGGAACCCCAGTAAAGTGGTTGGTTGCAGCTGTGTAGTAGTTAAGGACTATGGCAAGGAGACCAGGCGCAGTGGCTCACGCCTGTCATCCCAGCACTTTGGGAGGCCAGGGCGGGCGCATCACAAAGTCAAGAGATCAAGACCAGCCGGGCCAGCATGGTGAAACCCCGTCTCTACTAAAAAAATGCAAAAATTAGCTGGGCATGGTGTCATGCGCCTGTAGTCACAGCTACTCGGGAGGCTGAGGCAGGAGAATCACTTGAAGCTGGGAGGTGGAGGTTGCAGTGAGCCGAGATTGGGCCACTACACTACAGCCTGGTGACAGAGCAAGACTCTGTCCCCCCAAAAAAGGACTATGGCAAGGAGTCTCAGACCAAGGATGTCATTGAAGAGTGCTTCAAATGCAAGAAATGAAGAAATCTTTGGCTCACCAAAAGAATTTTGTCACACTTGGAATTACTTCTTCGCTAACGGATGTGTCTGAGTATCTCTACATATTCTTCAGCTACACCTCCCTTCTCTCTGGTTTTCAGGCAATTCCTGTAATTGGATCTGGGTTGTAATCTTTTTGTATTGGCTCATTAATTTTTTTGTGGAAAAATACATATAATATTTGCCATTTTGACCATTTTATTTTATTTTTTTAGAGACAGGGTCTCACTTTGTCACCCAGGCTGGAGTAGAGTGGTGCCATCATAGCTCACTGCAGTCTCGAACTCCTGGGCTCAAGTAATCCTCACACTTCAGCCTCCTGAGTAGCTGGGACTTTAAGTGCACACCACCTTGCCCGGCTAATTAAAAAAATTTTTTTTTTTATATAGAGCTGGGGGCATCTCACTGTTTCTCAGGTTGGTCTTGAACTCCTGGCCTCAAGTGATTGTCCCACTTTGACTTCCCAAAGTGTCAGGTTTACAGATAGGAGCCACCATGCCTAGCCTTATTAATTTTTTTTTTTAATTTAACTTTTTCTTTACTATAGAAGTCACAGGCTGGGCACAGTGGCTCACACCTGTAATCCTAGCACTTTGGGAGGCCGAGGTGGGTGGATTGCCTGAGCTAAGGAGTTTGAGACCAGCCTGGCAACACAGTGAAACCCTGTCTCTACTAAAACAATATAAAAAATTAGCCAGGTATAGCAGGTGTAGTGGTGTGCACCTGTAGTCCCAGCTATTTGGAAGGCTGAGGCAGGGAATTGCTAGAACCTGGGATGCAGAGGTTGCAGTGAGCTGAAATTGCACCATTGCACTCCAGCCTGGGCAACAGAACAAGACTCCGTCTCAAAAAAAAAAAAAAAAAAAAGTCACACTTGTATTTCCTTTTTTGTGAATTATTTATGTGGGTTCTTTGCCATTTATCTCCAGGGTAAAAACCTGTGTTTTTCTGGTTGCAGTGCAGCTCCTTAACTCCTGAAGTGTAGTTTGATTGTGCTGATCTAGCCACTGTCTTTTTTAGACTTTCTGTGTAGTAGATGCCAATGTGCAGGATGGTCACCATTTCTTGAGCACTTTGTATGGGCCTGGTCCTGGGCCAAGCACTTTACAGTGTGATGCCAATGAATGGGTTGGAGAAACCCAGTGGCACCAGCATCTGTGGCGCTCTATAAGCAGCCCAAGGTGGCGACCTCCCTCTTCTCTTTCTGCAACTCCTCAAGGCATAGGGCAAAGATGCAGTAAGTCCCAGACTGAGTCACAGCAGCAGGAGAAGGAGCTGCTCTCAGTCTCCACTTACCTTCCTTCCTTAGCACATGCAAGCCTCCAGATGCCCAGGGTAAATATTTGCTCTTGCTCTTGGCTGTGCCTGGGGCAGAAATAAGGACTGCCTTCCCTTAATAAACAAATGCACACACCCTGGTTATCACAGTTGCTTCTAGTCCTGTAGTCAGCCTGTAAATCCCTTTGGATTTACATCTCTTTGGAAGGCTGAGGCAGGCAGATCACTTGAGGTCAGGAGTTCAAGACCAGCCTGGCCAACATGGTGAAATCTCGTCTCTACTAAAAATACAAAAATTAGCCAGGTGTGGTGGCGGGTGCCTGTAATCCCGGCTACTCAGGAGACTGAAGTGGGAGAATTGCTTGAACCTGGGAGGTGGAGGTTGCAGTGAGCAGAGATGGCACCACTGCACTCCAGCCTGGGTGACAGAGCTAGACTCCATCTCAAAAAAAAAAAAAAAAAAAAAAAAAAGAAAAGAAAAGAAAAGGAGCTCTGGTGATCCTTTTCTGTATAGCAATGAATGTTTGATGACTCTCCATTTCACGGAGGCAACTCAGGTATCCAAATAATTCTCCTTGCAACTTTCTATCATTTGTCTCTTTGCCTTGCCTAAACTTTGCTCCTTAAACATTACTGCCTCCATACCCTATTTTCAGCTTGAATATGAACACTATTGACCCATCAGAGATGGAGTTTTGCTCTTCTTGCCTAGGCTGGCGTGCAATGGCATGATCTCGGCTCACCACAACCTCTGCCTCCTGGGTTCAAGCAATTCTCCTGCCTCAGCCTACTGAGTAGCTGGGATTACAGGCATGCATCACCACACCTGGCTAATTTTGTATAAGATAGGGTTGGTCAGGCTGGTCTTAAACTCCCAACTTCAGGTGATCTGCCCGCCTCGGTCTCCCAAAGCGCTGGGATTACAGGCATGAGCCACTGTGCCTGGGCTCTCTTTTGTTCATTGATATATTCCTGAAATACACAGTATCCATTCCTAACAAGTTGAAAAATGGTTTCCATGTTAGCACTTGAGTTCTCAACCTGCTAGCTAATTAGTATTAAAGACTCTGCCACCCTGAACAGTAACACCTGTCAACAGCACAGGATTAGTGCAACTATCCATATTAATAAAAATGTAAAAAAAATAAGCAAAATGTCACCAGGTGTGGTGACTCATGCCTGTAATCCCAGCACTTTGGGAGGCTGAGGTGGGAGGATCATTTGAGCTCAGGAGTTTGAGACCTGCAGGGGCAATATAACGGGACCCCTATCTCTATAAATGAATGAATGAATGAATGCAATATGTATCATTCTGTTAGAGTCTATAAAGAGTTTTGCTCTGCTATCAGAAACCTCTTCAGTCACTGACAGTTCATCTAAGAGTTAGTAAGCCTGGATTCTAAAGAAGAAAGAGTAAAAAGGAAGAATTTTGTAAATAAAATTTTAAAAGGCTTCTTTTCAAAGCCGCTGAAAACACACTTTTCAGCGGCTTTGAAAAGCGGCTTTTTTTTCAAAAGCCCATCCAACAAAGTGCCGTACTGAAAAAAATAAGATACTGGTTAAGGATGAAATTTAATAAAAATCCTGTATGATATATATATTTTTAGATGGCAGGTCCTGCAGTTAAAACTATACCTGACCAGGAATGGTGGCCCACGCCTGTAATCCCAGCATTTCAATAGGCCTAGATAGGAGGATTAATTGAGGCCAGAACTTTGAGATCAGCTTGGGCAATATAGTGAGACCTCATGCCTAACCACAAAAAAATAGTTAGCCAGGCATGGTGGCCTGCACCTGTCATCCCAGTTAAGTGAGAAGCTCAAGTAGGAGGATCACTTAATCCAGCAGTTTGAGGCTGTAGTGAGCCATAATTGCACCACTGCACTCCAGTCTGGGTGACAGTGTGAGAGCCTGTCTCAACGAATCGATCAATAAAGATAAAAGTATACCTGCTTGCTTGGTGGTGGCAAATGGGGATCTTTATCTTGGTTTCCACGAGTAGACGTTGAAGCCATGTTGACTTAGTGCTTGCTCTCCTTCCAGTTGATTATCCTCTGCTTTCTCCTTGACCCAGTGTCTAAGGACCGTAGAAGAGAATCACTATGCGGTGACTGAATGTTTGTATCAAGCTTAAAAGCATCCTGAGGATCCACTGGAGTTATTTGGAAAACTCATTTTCCTTTTGTCATTAGCTCATCTGCAAACTCAATGTCTAGTGCCCCCTTCCACCAGCATACACACATTCCTTCACTAATGGGAGACAGGTCAGATTTAGAATGGAGTGAAATATAACACTGTGCACTGAGCGTTAATTATGTGCCAGCCTGGGGGTATGAAGAAGGATAAGACAAGATCAGGGCTGAAGGAATTCATAGTCCACAGAGGGTGACAGACAAGTCAACAGTCATACAACTTGAAAAGGGTTCCCTTGAGGAATGCACAGGATGCTAGGGAAGGAAAAGAAGGATGGTCCATTCCATCTAGTCAGGTCTAGGACTCCTAAGCTTTCAGGAGGATCTGTGGAAGGCAGATGGACTCCGGGACAGGAGAACCAGGTTGCAAGGTGGTGCACTAGTCTGGGCAAGGAATTACAGAGACCTGAACAAAGACCCTGGTGGGAATTCAACATTTTTGATAGATATGCTAAATTCGCCAGCTCTTAAACTGGCGAAGTCATCCTACAGCCCCCAGGCAGTCACTTTTGCTGTTAGTGGCAACCCAGGCTGGAACTCAGCTCTGTCTGTCTTTGACAGAGAGGATAAATATGGGTTTGGAAATGTTGGATTTGGGTGCCTGTGGGGGCAAACAGAATTAGCTGTTAATATTTGACTATTTGGCTCTGGAGTTCCAGAACAGGGGTAGGCTAGAGAGATGAATTTGGGAACTGCCATCATAGATATGAGAGAGCAGGGAACTTGAACAAATGTGTCTAAAAACAGTATTTGGAAATATGAACATTGAACCCAAGGGGATATCGAAAAGAGAAGAAAGATTGAAAAAAAAAAAAAAGCAGGACAAGGAAATGACTGAGAAGGAATAGCTGATACAGAGGGGAGGGAATTCCTCAAGGAGGGAGTGAATCATCAACACCTTCACATGGCTTAGAAAAGTGGACCTTGGATTTGGCAATGATGGACGTAATCCAGGTGGACTTTGAGCGTCTTCCTGCCCCGAGTGGCCGCTGCATTCTGCAGCCCTGAACTCCGCCACTGCTGCTTTTCTTCTGCAAAATGAACCTCTTATACACAATTCTGTTTCCTACATCAATTACTAAACTTTGAAGCATTTGAGCTAAAGGGACCCATACTCCCACCAAGATTCATCACAGGTGCCTGATGTGATTACAGAGACAGCATGGTGCGCTTCACAGGAAAGTGCCGAGTCCGAGAAACCAGGGTTCAAATCCTCTTTCCCCCTGTGATCCCTGTGCTTTGGTACAAACGACTTCATCCGTCCGTGCCTCAGCTTTCTCCTCTGTTAAGTGGGCATAATGCACACAACGGTGAGGGGCTGTGGCAGAGATGAAGACGAGGATGAGGATGAGGGATAGGTCGGTAAAGCCCCGCTCAGCACCAAGCACGCTGCTGTGCGTACGAAAGGGTGGCTGTCAGACAGGCCGTGCACACCTTCCAATTCCTGAGCACTCCCAGGAAGTCTTTGCTGACTAGGCCAAACTAGATTATCTTTGCTTAGCTAGTAGGCCACTTATATTTAGAAGCAAAGATACCCCTCAGCTTCGGTGGCCAGGTCCCCTGGGACCCACTTAGTCCTCAGTCCACACCTAAGAGGAAGCCTTCCGAGGGTCTTGACTGCAGATGTAGCTCCCACCCCCCACCCTAGGGTGGTCCGGGGACCCTCTGCTTCTTCAGTGATGGGGAAGGGACCCGGGGGTGCTGACCGGCGGACATGCGTAGGAAAGCGCGCCCCAGCATGGGGAGCGGGAGTGCTTCTTAGAATGGCCTGGAACCGGGGGCCTGCCGGGCTGGACGACGGGCTGGGGACACCGCACTTTCTGATGCGGTCAGGGGAGCCGGGCGGGGGTCAGCCTCCTGGAGTCCGCCGCCGTCCCCGGCCAGAGGCAGCCGGGGCCACCCCAAGCCTCCCAACCCCTAGCCCGCGCCGGGGCCGCCGGGGTCCGAACCCGGTGAGAGTGAGGGGCGGCCACTGCTGCGCCGCGCCGCCTTCAAAGGACTGCCCCGCGGCTCCGCGTTCCCCCAGGCCACCGTCACCACCCCTGGAGCGGGGGCTCACCTGTGAGGGCCGGGTCGCCTCCAAGACCTCGTCCCCCGTTGCTGAGCCCAGCAGGCCTCGCTCCCCAGCGACTGCACCACGGCCCGCGGCCCGCACCGGTCTCCCCGGCTTCCTCCCGGTCCTTTGTGTTTTCTTCTCTTGCTCCGCCCCTTCGCCTGCCCGCTAAGCACTTAAGCTGAAGAAGTCACCCTACCGCCACCTGCCAGTCGCTTTCGCTGTCGTGGGCAACCCAGGCTGAAACCCAGCTCTTGCCGGACACCCCCCCACCCCGACCCCGTCAACCGTCAAGGCTTGTCCCGACACCGAGTCGGTTCTAGTTCCTTTGTGTCTTCCACAGGACTCCCTTCCTCCAGCAATTGCAGCCGGGAGAGCCTTGTATTGCGTCCCCGCCCTGGGCCAGGCGTGGGCATCACCCTTGCACTCCTTTTCCGCAGCCCGGTGGCGCGCCCGCTGAGATCTCCACTTCGCAGGCGGGTCATCTGAGTTGTGCGGGCCGCCAGGGGAGTCTGGAGTCCACCCTGGGCCCACTTGGCTCCCAGGCCTTCTGTTTCCTTTGCTCTTTGTCGGCCCTCTCTTCCCTCCTGTCTCTCCCCAACTCTGACTCGTAGGGGGAAGCCGCTGACATTTGGGGGAAACTTTAACACCGATACCAGTTGTTATCGGAGAGGGGTCTCGATCCAGACCCCAAGCGAGAGTTCTTGGACTTCGCACAAGAAAGAATTCGAGGTTAAAGCATAAAGTGAGAGTAACTTTATTAAGAAAGTAAAGAAAGGCCGGGGGCGGTGGCTCACGCTGATGCCCATAATCACAACACTTTGGGAGGCCAACCCAGGTGGATCCCTTGAGCCCAGGAGTTCAAGACCAGTCTGGCCAACATGGTGAAACCCCCTCTCTACTAAAAACAAACCAAACTTAGCCAGGAGTGGTGGCGCACGCCTGTAATCCAAGCTACTTGGGAGGCTGAGGCAGGAGAATCGCTTGAACCTGGGCAGAGGTTGCAGTCAGCCAACATGGTGCCACTGCACTCCAGCCTGAGTGACAGAGCAAGACTTCATCTCAAAAAAAAAAAAAGAAGAAGAAGAAGAAATGACTACTCCACTGGCAGAACAGTTCGACTGATTATACTTACAGTTATTTCTTGATTATATGCTAAATAAGAAGTGGATTATTCATGAGTTTTCCAGGAAACAGATGGGCAATTCCCAGAACTGAGGGTTCCTTTACTTTTTAGACCATATGGGGTAAGTTGCAGTGACATTTGTAAACTGTCATGGCCCTGGTGGGAATGTCTTTTATCATGATAATGCATTATAATTAGCATTTAATGGGCAGTGAGGATGACCAGAGGTCACTTTCATGTCCATCTTGATTTTGACTGGTTTTGGCTGGCTTCTTTACTGCATCCTGTTTTATCAGCAAAGTCTTTGTGGCCTGTACCTTGTGCCGACCTTCTATCTCATCCTGTGACTATCAATGCCACACCACCTGGGAAGGCAGCCCAGTAGGTTTCAGCGTTATTTTACTCGGTCCCTATTCAAGATGGAATGGCTCTGGTTCAAACACCTCTGCACACAGTTACCCCAGCTGTGGCTGACAACCTTTTCTGGGCTCAGCTGCCAGTACTGACCTGGTATGTTGACTTGGAGAGAGGCTGTGGAGTCCATTGAAGGCCCTCTTCATTTCTCACCTTTTCCTACTCAGTAAACTGGTCCCTGTATCTGTGGCCTCGGCCTCTCCACAGTGGCCCCCTCTTCCTCACGCCTCCCCCATCCACACCACTGACTTGTTGTTCCTCACATTCACACAGCTCTTTTCCACCTTAACCCCCCCTTCCACGCCCACCTGCAGACTCTCCCGATCTGTCCTGTCCTGGCTTTTTCCTACTTATGCTTTTTGACTGTTCCCCAGGAAAATTTTGCTGGGCCCCTGCTGTTGGAAACAGATGCTCTGTGCGGCAAAGAGAAATTAGCACTGAGACAAAGGATTTTTCAGCAACACAATTTTTATTTCCTGGAGGAAGACTACTCTCGCTAGCCATCTTGCCACTAGAGTACAATGAACAAAGGAAAACACACAGATTTATCCCTTACGCATTTTGGGTCGTCCTTACTGCTGGGTCTGATTTCCATTGGCTGGAGCCAGACCTCACAATCTAAACTAAAACCCAATTGGCTAATAACTTAAAACTTTTCTAAACAGGTGAAAGCAATGGAGAGCTGGGACATGCCTGTGAGCACATCCAGCATAGATATCTTGGTTAAAGTACAAGGTCATAGAATGTGCTATGTGCCTGTAAGCATGGCATGTCTAACAGCTACATAGGATAGGGCTTAACAAAGTTATCAGTACACTTATTCTTTAACAAGAAAGGAAACTTTAAAAAGGAGCTTTTCTACTTCCCACAACAGCTTAAGGCAGGCCTTTCTTCTTTCTCATAGCACAGGGCACTATTGTTTTCCTTCAAAGCACTTATCACAACTCATTATGGGCTTATCAGTGTGTTCATTTATAGAAAGCCTGTTTTCCCTGCTTCAGTGTAATCTTCATGAGGTACAGAACAATATGGAGTCAGTTTTGTTCACCATTTTGTAGCATCTTAGATTTAGAAGGAGCTCAACAAATATTTGTTGAATGAATAAATGAATAAGTGGGCCTGGGTTCAATGACTGTCAAGATACTGTTGTTTTGGAGGGTTCATTTCCCTAGTAGATCCTCCAGACCACATTCCTCCATGGATTCACTGTTTCCTCCCCCCACCAAAGTGTGTCTTATTTTCTTTTCACTCCTTTTCCCACCTCCAAATTAAAGGAATATAATTCTATTGCTAATTTCACATTTTATTACCAGAAGTCAGAAAAAGCTTCTGCCATTTTGTGGTCTGAACAGAACAGCTTTCTAATAGGTTTTGTGATTTAAATGAACAGCCTCCATGTCACTGAAGTCCACCCTCTAACAAATACCCTAATGGCATTTGTCCTTCAATATCTTGCTATGCTCCCACCCTCATCTCTACTTGCCACCAAATAGTCCGTTAACTACCTTAAATAGCTAGAAGTCATCATATGTAATGTGCATTGGTTATGACCAATCGGTATTTGTTGGGCAAATCTGATATGTCCATGTATTGTTCTAGCACTTTCAAAGATAATAGAAAAAGAGATGAGTCTTTTCCACAAAGGATTTATCACTTCCCAAAGAAGTAGAATAAATACACGTTGCCGTAGATGTCTATGGCCCTCAACAGAGCCTTTTTTGGACTTTGCTTCAGCATTCTGCAGGGCCTTGGGATCATGACCTGATCCGAAGTTGGTTATCACTGGCTAATGCTATGAAAACATGATTGATTTAAAAAGTGTCAAACCGTCCATGGCAGGTTCCAGCTTGAATTCTTTCCACAGCCCTGCACTGACCGCAGGCAAGGTCTGAATTCATTAGCAGGGCCCTGCGTGATTCAGCTCCTGCCTGCCTCTCCGGTGCATTTATCTGAGGCCCTCGTAGGACCTTCTGGAGTGACTCATGTTCTCTCCTTTCACGCTTTTATGTGCACTGGAGCGTCAGCCTGAATCAGCCTTCCTCTGCTTCTCCGCCTCTCTCTTACTCATTCTTGAAGACTGAGCACTGGGGTCACCTCCTTTTGGAAGCTTTGCAGACTCAAGTTTAGTTTCTCACCTTCCGTGCTCCCATTGCACTCTGCAGTGGATACCTGTTATGCATATGTGTGTGCACATATATGTTATATATGTATCTATTATGCATATATATGTACATAAATGTAACATTCATAGCTAACATGCTTTAAATACTATGTGTCAGCTGTGCTTCTGGTCTCCCATGACCTTATTCTTTTTTTCCTTTTTAGAGATGGAGTCTTCCTACGTTGCTCAGGCTGGAGTGCAGTGGCTATTCACAGGCTTGATCATGACACACTATAGCCTGGAACTCCTGGGCTCAAGTAATTCTCCTGCCTCAGCCTCCTGAGTAGCTGGAACTATAGATGTGCACCAATATGCCTGGCTCTTCTTCTTCCTTCCCTCCAGGCTCAAGCAGTCATCCTGCCTCAGCCTCCCATGTAGCTGAGACTATAGGCATGCACCATCACACCAGCTAATTTTAAAAAATTATTTTTTTTTGTAGAGACAGGGTTTTGTTATGTTGTCCAGGCTCTCATTATCTTTTAACTTCATCCACACAGCAGTCCCGAGTGGTGCTAATAACTTACTCAGTCATACAGCCAGGAAACGACAGTAGAATTTGAACCTGGGATCCAGAGTGATGAACTTCAGAGCAATGTGGCCCTGCTGTCCCTTGGCTGTCCTCACACTATCACAGCCACTGATGTTATTCATTGGCATTCTCTCTAGACTGTGAGTTCCTTGAGGGTCAGGGCAGTCAAGGACTGATCTTTTTCAGTAACTGGCATATTGTATGAACTCATGAATGGTAATGATAATGAATGAATTTAATGAGGCACAGAAGAAAAAGTGAATAATACATGGTCCTTTATTTCAAGAGGCTCACTATCTTTCTTTTCCCTCTCTCCCTCCCTCCTCTACCCCTCCCTACCATGCTTCCCTTTTCCTTTTTTTGTTTCTGTTTTTCTTTTTCTCAGATAGAAGCTTTTAACAGTAAAGTTACATGTTAAAATTGCATTTAAAAATTTTATTTATTTATTTTTAATTTTACTTAAGTTCTGAGATATATGTGCTGTATGTGCAGATATGTTATATAGGTATACATGTGCCATGATGATTTGCTGCACCTATCAAGCCGTCATCTAGGTTTTAAGCTCCACATGCATTAGGTATTTGTCCTAATGCTCTCCCTCCCCTTTCCCCACACCCCCTCAACAGGCCCTGGTGTGTGACGTTTCCCTCCCTGTGTGGAAGGCAATGGCAAAGACTTCATGACTAATACAACAAAAGCAATTGCAACAGAAGTCATAATAGACAAATGGGACCTAATTAAACTAAAGAGCTTCTGCTTAGCAAAATAAACTATTATCCGAGTGAACAGGCAATCTACAGAATGGAAGAAAATTTTTGTAATCTGTCCATCTGACAAAGATCTAATATCCAGACTCTACAAGGAACTTAAACAAATTTACAAGAAAAAAAAAATCCCATCAAAAAGTAGGTGAAGGATATGAACAGATAATTCTCAAAAGAAGACATTTATGTGGCCAACAAACATGAAGAAAAGCTCATCATCACTGGTCATTAGAGAAACGCAAATCAAAACCACAATGAGATACCATCTC